GTCGAGTAAGCGCATGCAACGTAACTTGTGTTGTTTGCACTCCTTAGCGATATCCTCATCATGAAGAATATGAGGGTGTTCAAGGGCGTACTCCAGAGATGCAAGATCACCCTGGGCCTCAAGCAGGATAGTTTCTGCTCGATTAAGAGCATGATGTTTGTCCGTTTGCCCAACTTCCTCTTGTCCAGCACTATCCCGACTCTGATTTCTGCTGCGTGTCAAGGAGCGTTGCTCCGCATTAATTCGGTGCAAAACTCGGTTGAAGGTTTCTCCCAAAACTTTGCTTTGGGAAAAGCGAAGCACACAACGTTTGAATCCATCGGTGCGGTACCTCTTTTGCCACAAAATAACAGTTTCAATAATCTTATATGTGACACTTTCCACCGTCGCAGACTTCGCAACCTTCAAGAGACGTTCGGTCCATTTTTCAGATGAGACCATACCGGCAAATTGAGGCATGCAATTAAGCAACAATTGGTCCAAGATAATCATGGACCGTTCTTGTTCTACCGGAAGTCCGCGCTTGAGATACTCCTTGATTTCGTCCAAAACAAGCTGCGCATTGCCTTGCTGCACCAAATTAGCCAATGCCAATATTGTCTCACGCTCTCCTTCCACGTTGGGACTGGCATAGAGACTCCTGAGAAGCTCCACCACACGGTGCCGATTTTGCGCGTCAAACGACATGTTCGAAAAAATGATGCTATGAACGCAGTTCCAAACCTAAAAAATATGCAGTATGCGCGCGATAACACTCAAAAGGTGAATGATGTCGCCAAATACAAATCGATGACACCACTTTTTTCCCCTTCTTTTCTTTCTTTTTCCTGGTTGCTTTTCCGACTTTTCCCACTAACGGTGAGCGCCAGCAATAAAAATGCTACTTTTGTCACGCCTGTGCGACTTTCTTTCTCCAATTGAAAATTAAGGAAAAAACGTCAAAAATACAGGATAAGAATATGCATATGAACAAACAAATAAATAATAATAATAATAAAAAATAGTTAAAAAGTAAGAGATGAATATGAGAGATACAGAATGTCAAAATACCGTAAAAGCATATTCTCCCCTAGAAATTTATACTGTGAAAATGTACAGCGGCACCCAAGATATTGAATGCATGAATCAAAAAAAGGCATCTCCAATAGGTATAAGCTCCAAATAGAGTAGAAAAAGGACAATAAACAAGGCAAAACAAATTATTTTCCACTGTCCTTCACAGGTCCTTTGCTTGCCTGTTCCCTCCATGTTCGTCTTCTCTGGCCGCCCACCCCGGACGCGCAAGAGCAACAGCAAACCTGCGCGTGGATGAGGCACTTTTCTTTATGCCCACGGAGGGCAATGACGCAATGTGAGATGGCATTTTTGCTCACTGCGCCCAGCATCTTCCCACAATCCAGAGAAGATTCACCAAACACTCATACATCAGTACACAAATGGATTCAGAAAACATGTGGTCATGAGAACCGGGCTCGCTGTGAGCCCAAGCAGTGGCAGTCCTTTAAAAAGCCCCGCAGCCGCCGGATGCCTCTCCGCGTGGAGGGCAGCAGGGGGTGGAAATACACAAAAACACACAGACACACAGACACACACACACAAGAAAGAACGCCACTCGCTGCCTTCCAACGTGCACAGTTGGAAGGCCCAAATCAGTTGACAGATATATAAAAAGGAAAGGGAAGTTAAACAAACAGCACTATCATTTCCCGAGTCCCATCTGGCCGCACATTCTTTCCAGAAGCATCGACAACAAACGCACACACACACTCGTACAAATATATTTTCTTCTCTTTAGACCTCATCTCACTTGGGGTCCTGAGCCATCATACTTTCTCGGATTATTCGGACAACCAGGAGGTGAGGCTAGGTGCGCCACCCACCCAGCTAACCCCGTTTCAAATCGAGCGTGACACAATGGACATACACTGTGAGTCGGGACAGCTTTGATACACTTATTCAACGCAACGTGCTTATTGATGTCCTCCACCCTCACTGCTTCTCTGCAAATAGGACACTCGCGCACTAAATGCCTGTTCTCACACTCTGTAGTGAGGTGCTGCTGTAGGGTGGCAATCTCCGTTACCTGGTCGCACAGTGGGCAAGGACAAAGCATTGGGCATGCTCGAATGAAGTGAATATCCAGTGCCGCCTCTGAAAAATTTTCATCGAACTGCCCACAGAACTGGCATTTCCTTGCCGCAATATGGGCGCCGCGTCCCTCAGAATTGGAATGACAGTTTCTTCCTGCGGGACGCATTTCGTTTTCGTCTAGAACTGCGCTAGAGTTAAGCGTAGCACTAGAAACTAATTCATCCTGAGTCATCACTCTCGGCGCAGTTACTTTCAGAGCTTCCATTTGTTGTTCAACCAAGTTCTGCTGTGCAGGTTTTAAAGCCTCCATGTAACAGGCTGAACGGGTCGGAGCTATAAGTAGTGCCTTTGCAAAGAGTCGACTTGCCGCCTCCCGCACCTCACCATTAGAATGTTGCAAACAATTCAATACAGCACTGGAGAGAACATTACCCACTTCAAGACTGGTGGATTCATCTCCGTTAATGCCGTATCGATCAACAAGTGAACTAAGCATATTCATGCGGGCAACATGCACCTTAGGTGAAACCGGACGCTTTTTGTCTTTCCCAGGATCTACAAGAAGTGATGAAACAACAGGTTCAAGTGCCAAATCAGAGAAAGACATGAGAACAGATTCAGCCATCTCTCGAATTCGGCTGTTGTTGTCACCCAAACGAATCACTAAGGCCGGTAAAAGGCGCTGAATGTGTGAAATGAGAGCAGAGATGGGAGGCAAATCTGGAATATTGTCCTTTATAATGGCCTGAAGTGCCTCGCAACACGCAAATACAACCCCTGCCACTGGATCACACAAGCCACGGGAGGGAAGAGCCATATAGGACAGAAGTGCTTCCATGACCATGTGTGAATGGGTACAAAGAGCAGTAAACCCAACGGGGGATATTATAGCACGAATGGCAGCCTCACGAAGTGAACCTTTTTTACCAAACAAGCAGGCGCAACAGTAGGTTCCAAACACATTTTCGCTGTTTCTGGCCTCTGTAAGTGCTTCTCCCTGCAATACTGAAGCCTGATCTTGTCTACTAGAGAGTTCACGAATGACACGATTAATTGACCTTTCCCATTCTTCTTTCCCTTCAGCAAACTCGGAAATTAAATTACCATCAACATTAGCACTAAGATTTTCCTGTTTCCCAAATCTCATTAAGTTATCCGAGTTTTTTATCATGTACAAATCACGTCCTCCCACGGGCGATTCGTCAAGCAATGCAGGGAGAGGGGTAGCAGCGTGTAATGAGGGCATCTGCTCTCCTCCCCGAAGTTCCGCTGTCATTAACTCACTCGTGAGTGGTGGCTTTTTCCCACTTGACGGCCCATATAATCTATTTGAATTCTTAGAGCTTTCGGCCTTTTCCGGCACTGAGGTGGGAATTCTGTATGCTTCTTCCCTTAAATTGTCAATTTGACGTTTCAAATTCTTTGCAGAAGCATAATCCTCCTCTTTTACTGCCGTCGCCTTTTCCTTTTCCAAATAATAGAGTTTTTTCCCAACTCTTTCTAAAGAAAGCAAACATGACTTCAAGGCATCCGCAAGATCATAATCTTCCGCTGCCACAGCCCTTTCCTTCAACAATACAATTTCTGCAATGCGACGAGCTGTCACCTGGTCTATTTCCAGTCCAATATCATCCTGGGGTTGCACCGACTGAGGATTCCCCAGGCGTGGTGGAAGCATCTCATCCAAGGGAACTTCTACTGTTTCTCCAATAAGACATATTTTCCTTGTTGGGGCACCCTGATATGTACGCCGAATTGTGCCGTGACTTGTGAGCGCGACAATACCTACTTGATGAAACAGATTGTAGTCACTGCTATAGGGCCTTGAAATCAAAAGTTTGACGTACACGCATTTTTGTCGAATATTTATTGTTTTAAGTTCACGAGCTCCAAACGCATTATCTGTAGTGGTAACAAAACAAACATATCCCAGACGCCGGAAATTGCTTGAGTGGTATGGTTTAATCATACCATTTTCTATTTCCTCTTTGGTGGCTTCCGCAATAAAAACTTCTATACGTGATGCAATCTTTCTTTCATGAGAAAGTACACGAATAAAATGCAGTTCGACTTCACCTTCAAATGCAAATCCAAGCTCTTGTGGATACACGCATCCCTTGTCAGATTGCCACCCGGTCGAATTTTGGACTTGATGGCGCAATGCACGCGCGGGATGATCTCCATCTTCCGAAGAACAATGGCAAAGAGACATGGTCAATCGAGGCCCATATTTCTCTTCCGATGAAAAAAGGGTTCCCAACATAACTTCTTGTGCTTAACCCAAAACAAAGCACACCAAAAAAAAAAAAAAAAAAAAAAAAAAAAAGCATGCAATACTACTACTTATAATGAGAGTAATACCAATAAAAAAGTATATATAATGATAAAATAGTAACGGCAAAAAGAGCAGCAAAAAAGAAATAAAACAAGAGCAGCATAAACAACAACAAAAAAACTGCTTTGTACAGGCAAAAAAGACCAAGTTATATATATGTATATATACCCTTGTGATTTATTATCTTTAATCAGTCCCCGGATAAATTATCTTGAATCATTTTTTTTCTCTTTATTGAAAGGGTTACTCAAAGACCTTTATTCGTTGCCAAATATTAGTCGGAATCTTCTTCTTGTTGCCCATTTTCATCTTCATCTGAATCATCATATTTTTCCTCACATCCATCTCCTCTTATTTTGTTGGCCAACTCCTCTTCGGTTGCTTTTTCTGTGTTATAAAGATCGTGGATGGGGGCAACAATACAATCAGGATCAAATTCCACCACGTTGCCTGGCAAAAAAACCAAATATTCTTTTAAAAGGGAAGCTACATGATCCAAGAGGACAGAAAAGTGATCAGCGGGATTTTGATGTACCTCAAGAGTTCCAAGTCTTTTCCCCAGGCAGAGAGAAATATCAAAAAGGACGGAAGCCGCATCAACTTCTGTTTTGGTTAAACATTTCTTTGTGGGAGGTCGCATAACTGCCCATGGCACGTTTTTACCTTGACAAATTTCCCGAACAAAAGTTCGAGCACCAAGTTTCAAGACATTATGAGAATCCATCCGTCGCACGCTTGTATTACTCCTTTTTTTCCCACGAGAAGGTGCCACCACGGAAGAAATACGTACAAGCTTGTTTGGAGTAGCATTACTAAATGAAGTATCAAGAAGAGTTGTTTGTGTGCTTTTCTGACGAGATGCAAAATCAACAGAGGCTGTCAAAGAACTGCTAGAGATCTTTCCCATTGTCCCAGCATTTGACACAAATAATGGGGAAACGTAAAACCCTTTTTCCATTCGTACAGTGTGCCCGAGGCTTCGAAAAAAACGTTGAGCCGCCTTAATATTTTGTTTTTCGCTAGAAGATCCAATAAAACCTTCTCCAGGCTGACAAAATCCTTGCGCAAGGGCAACTTTGTCAATTGCACCAGCGAAAAGCATGCAGCCTATAACTTCAGGATTACTCATTCTTTCAACAAAGGAAAAAGGCTTAAACACAACATCGCCTCCAGACAAAGATGAAAGCTCACGAGACAATATCGCATCTTCTGGAAAACGTAGTAATGTTATTTCCTTCGCATTGGGAAAGGCCAATTTAAA